CCGGGCGGGGGGGTGGGAGTTCGTAAGTTGGATATTCGATTGTGACATGTGCGTGATCGTCAGCCAAAACTCTGTGATCTGTGCAATGAAGCTGCAGCTGTAAGCTTTCAAGTTGCAGCTCAGTCCTCTTTCCCATCTCCTCTCACATTCTGTTAATGCCAAGATTTCTGGTTGCCCTGTGCGAGCTATAGGCAACCTTGCCGAGCCGTGTTTCTTGTGGCACGCTGGCAATGTTTGGTGGATTGGGGCTTGCAGGAGCTCTCCTGCAAAACAGGCAAGCCGAATTGACGACAGAGTCCAGTGCACGGTTACGGCCACGGCGCTGTCGGCATGCGCCGGTCGTGCCGCGGGTCGTAGAGAACACAGTATCCGAGGCGGAACAGCCGGAATCAGGGTCTGAATCAGCAGAAGCCCGGCCAGAAGCCCCGCTTCGAACTCGACAACAAGTGCTGCAGCGGGAGCTTCGGTCAAAGCGGGCCAAGCTTGGAGCTCAAGACAGCAGGCAGTTTGGGGTACTAGGAGCGTCGAAAACGCGAGGAAACCCCTTTAGCCCACTGTCCACTTACTCTCGCTCTCTCTCTCTCTCTGTCTCTCTGGTCTTTAAACCTTTAAACTTTAAACCAAGAAGCCAAGAATATTGTGATCTAGGCTATAGCTGACTTTAACTCTGACTCTAACTAACACCAAATCAGGCCAAGCCCGGCCAAGCCCTGCAACTTGAGGCTGCGGGAAGCGGCAGCCGTGGACATGGTCACGCAAGACAAGGCCCTGCGGATTGGCCGTTTGGTTTTCGGAACAGAAAATATGGATACGTCCGGGGCTGCGCGTGATCGATCCCAAAACTTGGTGAAGCTTGTTTGCATATGGACAGTCCTGGACAGTCTACAGTGTCCTGTACAGTCAGAGTCATAGTCTAAGTCATAGTCAGAGTCTGAGTCAGAGTCATGAGTCATATCATATTCAGATTCTGAAATACTATGTTGCCGTACGCTGTTCCTGTAGATGGTCGTGTCAAGTCGAGTCTATGTTTTGTTTTATATTGTATGTAGTATTACAACACTGACAGGTGCAAAACCAATGCTAAGCCGCAGTCCATGCGACAACTCAAGGACTTTTCAGGAGGAGGACGGGTCCTTGGCAGTCTACGACTACACGTCGTCGTCGTCAAGGCAGAGGAAGCACGTCCAGGATGTGGGTTTGGCTTCGCATTCTCTCGCGCAAGAAGATAGCATTCATCGTTGGTTGTCTGCTTCCCCCATTGAGCACTTGATCTATTCCCTTCAGATGGACGAGACAAATGTGTGGGTACTTGGTACTGCTTTCGAAGCCAGCTTTGAGGGATCAGTGGGATCAGTTTATGATAAGTGGTAGCCTGAAGACTCTTGCTCCCCTCTGTCTGTTTCTCCCACACCATATAGAAACAGAACAAGTTTGGTTGCGGTCTGGTTGTGCTTTGTAGCCCCTTCTATCTCTCCCTCCCTCTCTCTCTCTCTCTCTGACGATAGTTTGGCATCTGGTTGCTCACTAAAGCAAGGTACAAATGCGATCCGAAACCAAAAGCAAATCTGGCACTAGCTGTATTCACAAGCCATTGCTCGGATTTTTGCAAAAGCTTGCGCTGCCGCGAGCTGACACCACAAGACCTCTCGAGTACGTCACGTGGTTCTGCTTAGCCTTTCTGTTGCCATTTGCCTTTGCCATTCTTAACTTCACCTTACTGCCCAACGACCTGAGGTAGCCTCTCAGTCTAACTAACTTCTAACTCAGTCTCACAGGCAGTCTATCAATCAGTGAGTCTATCAGTCTATTAATCTGTCACCAGACCGTCTATCTGTCTATCATAGTCTATCGGCGTATCGGTGTCTAGCAGTCTATCATAGCAGTCAGTCTATCAGTCTATCAGTCTATCTATCAGTCTATCGTCTATCAATCTATCATAGTCTATCATCATATCAGTAGTACAGTAGTCTATCACAGTCTATCAGTCAGTCTATCATATCAGCAGTCTATCATTCTGTCAGTCTGGCTGTCCGATATTATTTTGGTAGTTTCTTTTTGTCTGCCGCTCTGCCTATTACTATAGACTATTCTTTTACCATTACTATTTATTACTACTATTACTTCTATGACTCGACTATGACTATGACTCTATGACTCTATGACTATGACTGACTACTATTACTATGACAATTACTGTTTACCGTCATGAGCTCAGGCTACCGTTCACGTGCCGGGGCAGTGCTTGCCAAAGGCGAACGCAGCAACCGTCCATCGCTGCTTGCAGTGTTGGTCCGTGTGGTCTGCCTGTGGTGGGTGCTCAGACTTCCTGGGAGGATCGAAATTAGAACAGGCTATCAAGCGGATCGATTTGATGATTATTCTGTGTGTAAGCGACGCGCATCCAAGCAACGATTGCATAAATGCCCTTGAAGAAAGCCGCTTGTTGCCGGGGCTGTTGTCGCCAGGCGACGAACAGCAAATCATTGCCCGATTGCCGGCGTTGTGTGTTCAGCACCAGGCTTCGTTGGCTAAGCGGCCGGCGCTCCTTGCGATCCCAGGCCTTTGCTCAGGCTTAGTCCGAATGTGTGCCTGGGCTGCCTAGGTCGATTTTGTGGAACATATTGGAACCCCTCCTCGATCCAATTGGGGATCCGTGTCGGTGTTCAGTTCAGTTCAGCTGCGGAGGAACGCTTACCGTTTGATTCGCACTCGTCGATGGTTATTTTGAGCTAGTAACTAGTAATTCTAGTAATCATTTCCTCTGTGGTAGTTGTTGTGTGGCTTAGATGACAAGGCAAAGCCATGATGTCCAGCCGTTTCAGAGATGGTTACAACCAGGCGCTGATAGCTGCCGCCAAAGCTGTGCAACGACGTGTCGTGTCAAACTTGCCGGAGGGTGTTGATGGTACCATACGTCACAACCGTGAATTGCTTTCCCTTTGCAATGACGACCTAAACGACGAAGAGAAACAGGAGGAGGCCTTGGCATTTTTCAACGGCAGCTGGAACTCCCAGGGATTGGTGCACTGGTGTCAGGGTTCATGCTGTACGTCAGACGAGCACTGTCAACAGAGCTCTGGATGACTCCGAAAATTAAACCCATTCTTTGTATAACGGTATACGGTATAACGGTATATAACATATAAATTCAATAAATACATCTAAATCTAAACTAATATAATATAAATAACTTAACTAACTATTAACTAACTTTTAACTAACTATGACATGACTCTGACTATACCGACTATACCGACTATACCGTATAAAAACACGGTAGCTGAAAAGACTAAATAAGTTTGAATAAGTAAGTTAAGTAAGTAAGTGATACGTGATAAATAGTGATAAATGATAAATCTCATTGCAGTCTCATCTCTGATTGATATGATTTAAAAACTTAAAAATAGTTGAAAAGTTCTAAGTTATAAAAGTATTAAGTTAGTCAGTCTAGATAAAATACAAGTTATAAAGTATAAACTATAAATACTATAAATAATACCTTTTAAATGACTATAGACTATAGACTATAGATCATAGATAGATTATAAGCCGGCAGCCTACAGCGTAATGTAATTTTAGACACTGTAAAATGTTCCCAGGAAAGCATTGCAGAACCTCACGTTTCTGTTCGCGTCGGTTCCCTCGCCGCCCTTGCTTTACAGATGGAAGCACTGGGAAGCAGCGGCTGCTTTCGCTCTGCGCGGGGTTTTATTTCATCAGGGCCTTTTCGAGTCGCTGATATCCACTGGAGCAGCTTTCAGTGGGACCAAATTTGACTCAGAAAACATTGAAGCATTGATTGCGGAGGCAGTCCTGGATCTTGACGATCAGGAAGGTGATGCCGACATAGGCAAGTTGCAGCAAGTCCGCCTTGCCAAGACTTTGAACCTCTTCCGGACTGGGCGGATCAAGGTGTCTTGATTGCGCAGAGTGCGGTAAAATTGTAAACCTCGGGTCACAGGCCTGTCGCTCTCTTCCAAGCCGTCCTTGCTCACAAACACTTTTCACTTTCACAGTGCTTCTCAGACTCTCAATTCTGTCATCTCGACTCAACTACTTATTAACTTATAACTTATAACTTATATCTTCTTATAATGGTTCAATGATCTATGCTCTATGCGATGGTATCTGGTATCTCAGGACCTGCTGCAGCGTGGGATGCTGGTGGGAAAGCCCTTGCGGAAATTCGCTGATCTTGTCTCCCTCTCCGAGAAGCATCAGCTTCAGCAGGAATACTTTGCGTGCGGCTTGCCTAGATTGCCGTCTAAGCGGCCAGATGCTGCCAATGTTCCTCCAGTCTCGAAGCAAGACGTGATTCGAACCAGCGTGCGGATCTTGACTGGATCTGCTGGCCAAGATGTTGTGAGGGATTACACTTTGCTGCTGATGGCGTCCCCTACTGAGCAAGTCTGGCTACCTGATTTCGCATTTGTCGATGCAGTCACGAACTACTCGGAAGCAGCGCCACTTCTGCTTGGTGCATTGGCAGAATCCTGGCGACGGCTTGTTTTTCCTATGCAAGCCCAGCCTTGGACTTTGTTTCAGATTGTGGATCTTAGCTCAGAGGAGGCGGTTCGTTTTCTGGATGACATGCTTGCGCAGCAGAAGGAGTGCACTCACTGCATACACAAGGCGTTTTCTGGTCGGATACTGGCTGCGTACGTGCAATGGGGTCAGGATGAAGCGGCTGCACAACGCGTGCAGCGAGTAATCGTGGATGTTGCTTTGACCGCGTGTGCTTCGTCTCAGAATGTGGAGAAGTTCCATGCAGGTGCCCAAGTCGGGCATCACGAACACCGCACCAGTGGCCGGAAGCCTGCAACTATTCAACGTGCCACTTACATTATGGTTGCACGGAATGCTCACCAGCGCTTGAGAGATCGTGTGGACAGATCTGTGTTTGGTCCGAACTTGCATCGAGCACGTTGCTTGCTAAAAAATCGCGTCGTGATGCGTAGTTCTACAGCATCGGCTTCCTTGAGGAATGACGCGGCAAATCCAAAACGGGTGAAGAAAGCAGTTCTGAAAAGAGCTGGTTCCGGCACGGTCATGGCCACCAGTACATGGAAGGCATTCCTCGCCCTCCACAACAAGAACCGTCCCCGAGGCATCGCAAGTACCGTTAGCCAACAGTACGCGCAGATGATGCAGTGTGACGATGGCAGACAGACGCTGCAAGCGAAAGCACATGCCATGGATGAGTGCAAAAGGAACATGGTGGCAGCTGGCTTGGCGCAACCGGCGCTGACGCTTCAGCCTTCGGATGACTCTGCTGCGGCAGCATTGTCCGAGCAGCAGCTGCGCCGTTTAGGGCAGAAGCAGCTTGATGTTTCCTTGCAACAAGTGAAGAAGCATCCGGCATGGCTGGCAGGGTTGCAAATTCAGGACATGAACTCGGCGCTAGCGCCACGATGGGTTCAATGCTCAATGTCCCAGAAGGATGCTGCAGAGATTTGTCGCCAGAGGTTCGATGCTATGGCGGAGTTGGTGCCAAACCCGCCACGCTTTCCGCAGCGACAGAAGACCTGTCACGAACTCTGTGGCGGCTTGTGCTGCAAAGCCGACACCACAGACCAGGCCAACACATTGGTGCAGCAGTTGCACCATGTCTTGCAACGTAAGCAGCTAGACAGGCCCGGAACTGTGATCGTCATTTCCCTTCTCCCTGACGGTTTTGAGGGCACTGTTGCTGAGGGTGCTAGCCAGGCAGTCAACAGCAAGTTGTTCTTTCTGGGCTCTCTTTTCAAGAAATCGCCTCTGAGACACTACCTAGTTGGTTTCGAGGAGGTTGATGCAGGGCAGCCGTGGACAATTTGGACTTTGCACACAGTCGCGGAGTGCGCAAAGGTTGCAACGTCTCATCAAGTCTTCGCGAATTTCCTACAAGTTGCCAGTGCGGACTCTGATGTGGATAATGAGCAGCTTCTGATTCAGATTTGGGATGAGGATTCGTATAGTTTTTGTTCCAGTCATGATGTCGGGAATCACATTCGCATTGAGCGGCGCCCGTGTTGGCGCCACCTCCTGGGCAGCAGGTTTCAGGAAACTGCCGACAAGCGTGTGCCTCGGTCCAAAGGCAGCGTCGACGTCGCCGGGCAAGATCAGAATATTATACAATTAATTATACAATTATACAATTATACATTATACAATTGGATAGAAGTTAAATATTAGAAGTTTTTGATCATTTGCCAGTCTGTATGTCGCTGCAGATTCTAAACTAATATGTTATCAGTTATCAGTTATCAGTGTATTAGTAGTATTATATTAAATTATATTATATTAGTATATTAGTATCAGCGCCCTGTAATATCTGTATCAAATGTATCAACAGAATTGAACCAATTAAAACGGAAAATTCAACAAAATATACACAAACGTAACATACAGATTCACGTTTGTAATTTGTAATAAAACATGTTAAATATTGCTCATGTAAGTTTTTATTTATGTGATGTGTGTGTGTAGTACATGGTCAATAACCAGTATGTAACCTGTATCATTCTGCTCACTGTAGATTGCATTTGAACCTGTAGCTTATTTCACTGTATATCATATCTCATATCATCGAATCATATCTCTGTATCTGTATCAGTGTGAAATTGTCGGTTGAGTCAGTTGAGTCAGTTGTATCAGTTGTATCAATAGTCAATAGTCAATAATTTAATTATAATTAAGTGCATTGAACATTGTTAGTTGTATGTGCATCCTGATCCTGAGCAGTGATCAGTCTTTGACACTCTGTCTCATTGTAAGTTGTTTTATGAGTCAATTATGAGCAGCGTATGATATGTGAACTGTGAATGTAACGTATGAATGGAAGTTGTCATAGCCTCATAGCCAAGGTGGAGCTGCCGTTCGGGTTAGTGCCCCGTGCAAACAGGCAGCAGCGGCAGCAGGCTACTCCGAAGTGCGAAGACGATGCCGAAGAGGACCAGGACATGCGCACAGAGGCAGTGCCTGCAGCTTTGGCCAGGGGTCTCAAGTGGCCCAAACGTCGCAAGAAGCCCACCGGTGGGCAGCCCACCGTTGCGGTCGAGACAAGCTATGAGGGATTTGCGTCCACGCTGCTGGCTCGCTCCAGGTCGGCCGCCAATGAGGACCACGACGTCGAATCGGGATTGTCCCAATACGATCCGGATGCCTGTCCTGTTGATGCCGATGCCATTGACATCGGTGCAGACTCTGACGATTTGCCGGAGAGTGCAAGAGCAGAGCATGCTCGGGTGAGCGCGATGTCCCGTCTCGTACGTTCCGATGTTGATCCCACCTCCAACCCTCCGCCAGTGGAAACAACTGAGACAACCCCTCCCCCGCCAAGGCGTGTTTCTGGTTTTCGCAGGGAGCTTGGCATCTATCGGGTGGAGCGGACTCCTCTCGTATCCCGGGGCCCTATGGCCCGCTGCTATTTTTGCGGAGCCCAGGTGCCTGGAGGTTCAATTCGAATGCAATATCAATTCAATCCGACCAAAATAGCTCGCTGGATTCATGTGGAGTGTGTCGCAAGGATCCCGTCCCAGGCACACGCAGCATCGCTCGACTTCCTCAGATCCATCCAATGCTCTGAGGATCTTGAGCTGGGACGTGCTGTCGGTGGCGCCATTCTTGCGTTGGAAAGCCTACAAAGGCCTTGAGGTGAGCAAGAGCTCATCAGAATAGGCTTCATGGCGTGCATGGCCCGAAGCATGGCTTCGGGGGCTTTATCTGTTGCTAGTTTCCGATGGCTACATTATAGACTTGACTAGAGTATAGGTATAGACGGTATAGACTTATAGACGAGCGCATTCAAGTTCCTTCAAGTTCGAGCCCCAGTCATATCAAGTCAGATAACGTCAAATCTAATTCGTTTGGCCGCACGGCCAATCTCTGAACATGTGCAGCTTGTAGCCTTCTGACCCGCGCAGTCAGCATCAGAGTGAGCCAGAGTCAGAGTCATATGAGTCGTATAATGCCCGTATAAGTTCTAATATAAGTTATCTGTTTATTAAGTTTAAGTCAGTTTAAGTTTAAGTAACAGTTTAAGCTTTAAGTTAGTAGTTAGAAGTTAGAAGTTAGCACTTAGAAGACAGTATACAGTATACACAGTATCAGTATCAGTCAGTATACAGTATACAGTATACAGTATCAGTATCAGTATCAAGTATCAGTGTCAGTATAGTAGAGTCGCCAGTCATGAGACGTGAGTCATGAGTGATTGTAGTCCGTAGAGAACGTAGTCTTGTTTTATGTGTGAAACGAGGGAAGCGAGCCTTTCGCATGCTGCTACACGTGCCGCAGGGGTGCAGGTTGTGTGGCTTTGTATTTTTTTTTTATCAGTTACAGTATCAGTACAGTAGTAGTATCAGTATCAGTGTATCAGTTTCAGTTTAAGTCAGTACAGTATAAGTAGTATAGTATAAGAAAACAGTTCACAGTATACAAACTGGCTCTCACTTTCATTCTCAACCAACGATTCGATAATTCGATGTTGCATCCAGAGGTAGCGGTAGCCGGTAGCGTTACGTCAAGACGCTGTCCATGTCAAAACAAAAGTTGTGAGTTCGTCACATTGTGCATTCAGCTGCACTCAAGCCAAGCAAAACCAGCTTCTGATGCCCTCTGTCGCCAGTGCCCTCTGGACTTCCTGCTTCGCGGGAGACTTCCTGACGGGGAGGAAGTTGGGCTGATGCTGGTGCCAGCCACGGCCCAAATTCAGTTTCAGTGTTTGCGTCATAGCAACTATCAAACTTTGCATTGTGTACTGGCAGCGGCAGTAGCAAGCTCGGCTGTGTGCAAGTGAAGCGTCTGAGGGCTATCTGGTTCGCGTACTTCGAGTCAGGACTGTTTCGGCGTCATCTGGTTCTGGTTCCGTTTGTGTCTCATGATCAATGCACGTTTGTAGTTTCATATGTCCAGGAGCTGTGATTATGGTCTGCCACAAC